CTTCCCGCGGAGCAGGGAGCCCGATGCGGGACTCGATCCCAGGACTCTGGGATCATGACCTGAGGCCGAAGGCAGACGCTTAACCATCTGAGTCATCCAGGCGCCCTAAAATAAAATCTTAAAAAGAAGAAAAAGAGAAACAATTAGTCTTCTAAAGCACTTAAGATACAGGAGAACCCATGTGTCTCTATCTATAGGACTGCATGCCTGTGACAACGAGTAGCATTATGTTTCCAGAAAGTCATCTGGAATCGGGGGGACACATTTTGGTGTACTGGCAGGTTCTTGGGCCCTTCCCCAGACCACAGAACCTGGGGCTGGGGCCCAGGAATCCTGAATGTTGAAAAGACCCTCTGGGTAGCTCCCAGGCACATGGAAGTCTGGAAATCAACTCAATTCCTAGGAGGCCCTCGGAAAGCAACCCCTGAGTTACCGAGTCAACAGGCTGAGTTCACCCTCATCAACCCCCCCCTGCCCCCGATCAGGAGCAGTTTTCCACAGCAGCTAAGTGATGTGGCTTCTCCACCAGCATCTGACCTATATGGGAAAGGGATCTGCGTGCTCTGGCAGCTCCCAAGTGTGTAGCACCTGCAGGCTGCCACCAGGTGGGGGTGTTTTCCTATGCAAGGCACTTCTAGGGGCTCGGAAAATAGGAGGCATTAACAACTCACATCAGGGGGAGGGGGGTGTTTGGTTGGTTTGCGCTCTATTAGCCTTTGAAGGTCATCCAGCAACAAAGGTATCCACTTCTCTCCCAGGCATCGGGCATTGAAGATTCTGTCATTCACCCAGGTAGTCAAAGGGGCACCCACCCCGCACCAGCTCCGACCCATGCTGTGGACACAGCAGGGCAAAGCCAGAGGGGCCTCTGCCCTTTCGGAGAGCAGGAGCTCACAGTCCCTTGTATTTGGTGGTTTAGAACTACAAACACTGAAGTCTCGGGGTCTCCAGAGAAAAAGATAATGTACCAAGAGCCTGGTGAGGAGGAAGAGAAAGAAGTCCTAGAACTCGTGTTGGGAGGTCCTGTGTTCAGGAAAGTTCAGGTGTGCTTCCCAAAGACGCTTTGGGGACAAGTGCAAGCCGAGGGGCCCTGGAAGACTGTCAGGCGGGCCAAAGGCAGAGTCGGGGGCTGCGGGAGGCTGAGTCGGGGGGCTCCGGGAGGCTGAGTCGGGGGTCTGGGAGGCTGAGTCGGGGGACTGTGGGAGGCAGAGTTGGGGGGCTCTGGGAGGCAGAGTCGGGGGATGCGGGAGGCTGAGTGAGTTGGGGGGCTGCAGAAGGCAGAGTCGGGGGGCTCCGGGAGGCTGAGTCTGAGAGCCCAAGTCAGCTGGGCTCTGGGCTGCTCATCTGGCTCCGACCGCAGCAGGTCCACACAGATCTGTAAAAGCTCTCCTTCAAAAGGGAGTGGAGTAGGGAAAAGAGAAAGCACACAAGAGAAGGAAAGAGCTTGAAAAACCAGTGCTTCTCTGGCTCTCGGAGTACGAGACCGGCTCCCTCGGGCCAGAGGGAAGGTGTACCTGCTTCTCCCTGCCTCAGCGGTTCCATGGCTTCCTCGGGCTTTGAGCCGTGAACCATCCTTGTGGCCTTGGGCACCTGGCCCGTAGCAGATGTTCAGCGAATAGAACTGACCTGAGCTCATCTAATGAAATGGCAAGCCTGTGGCAGTCACTGTGCTCAGTGCTTGGGGACGTGGAGATGGTAGCTTGGTTTCTGCCCCCAGAAAAATCCCAGTTTGGGGAAAGTAAGCAACGTCCGCTTGGGATGTGAGCAAAGTCCTGTGAGCGGCTGCGGGTGCCCGGGGGAGGCAGGAGGGCAGCCGACGGACGGAGGGCTCGGAAAGGCTTGGGCACCAAGCCCTCAGTCCGTTGCTGTGAATCCTGGGGTCTAGCCAGCTAAGGTGACCCCCCAGCCCGAGACCTGACGTGTGGCCCCTTGTGTCTTCCCTCCTGTCGGCTGGGCCAGGCCTCTGCCCCCGGCCCCATGCTCACCCGTGGAGTGGGGGGCAGTGTCCCTCCCTCCTCTCGCTGCCGACGCCCCGGGATCCTGAGCGTGTCCCCCCCCCCCAACAGCTGCACAGCGAGGTGGAGAAGCCCCTGATGAACTTCCGAGAAAACTTCAAGAAGGACATGAAGAAGTGTGACCACCACATCGCGGACCTCCGCAAGCAGCTGGTCAGCCGCTACGCCGCGGTGGAGAAGGTGAGGGGCCCGGGAGGCTGGGCCTGCTGGCACGGGGTGGGCCGGGCCCCAGCAGGGCTCCAGTGCCAGGGCAGAGGGCTCTGTCCCCGTGTGGCGGCGTTGGGCTGGGGAGGGGGGGGCGTGCCAGCCTCCAGCCCACACCAGAAGACCCCCGGCCCCCCAGCCCCCCAGCCCCAGCCTGGGCCCCGGCCCCGGCCCAAGGGCAGGTAGCAGCTGCTTCCCCAGGGCACTCGGGTCACTGCTGGAGGGCCGGTGGGAGATAGAGTGGGGCCCCCTCAGGCGCAGGAGATGAGGTATACCACGCTTCTGTGGGTTCTGTGGGCCGGCCCGCCGGCCCGTGTGCTGGTCCACACGTGGCCCTTGATCCAGGCCCCACTGGGCAGATTCCCTCCTGACGGAGTCACCCCCCTGCCAGAGGCCTGGGAGGTCCGACCTGGCTGGCAGCTGTTGCTGACCCCAGAGCCGTGGGGAGGGGTGCAGGACGGGGGGCGCGTAGAGCACCTGGCCCGCTGCTGCCCCTCTGGCCCCGGAATGGGGTGGCTGGTGCCGCCGTCCGCTCAGCACTGCTAGGGAAAAAGATCCACGAACAAGGGGAGAAGAGAGGCCTCTTACCCAGCAAAGGGGAGGCCGGGCCACGTAACCCGCGGGGCCCTGCCGGCTCGGAGCCCCATGAGCAGCTTCCCTGTGTCGTTGGACCCCAGGCCCGGAAGGCCCTCACGGAACGGCAGAGAGACCTGGAGATGAAGACCCAGCAGCTGGAGATCAAGCTGAGCAACAAGACGGAGGAGGACATCAAGAAGGCGCGGAGGAAGTCCACGCAGGCTGGTGAGTGTGGCCATGGGCTCCCTGCCTCTCTCCTCCTCACCCGGGCCTCGGAGGCACAGAACGGGGAGGGCTGTGAGGTGGGGTGCCCGGGGAGGTGCATCCCAAGGACCAGGCTGGAGTGGGGGGCTGTGGTGCTGTGTCCAGGCCCTACTGGGGGGCGGGGGGGGCGCTGCCCTGGACCTCGGGTCAGGAGGTGGACAGACTCCTCCACGTGCCCAGGACTCAGGGCTCTGTCCCCGCGAGGAGCCCGTAGGAGAAGTTCAGGCCCCACCTGCCAACCCCGCAGTGCCACCTCCCCAGCAAGTGCTGCTCCCAGGGCTGGCCTCTGGTGATCCGGGGCCCCTGCCCCCCCACCCCCCACAGAGTCCGACATTTTGTTCCGCGAAAGAATCAGATTTCAGATTCTCTCAAAGATTTCCTCCCGGTGAGTCGGTTTCTGCTTCCACCTTGTGGTGAAAATTAGCTGATGCACAAGGTGGGGGAGAAAGGCCTGTTAGAACCAGTACAAAAACAGTCCCTATTTCTTCAGAAAGTCCCAAATTGAAGGGCACGCTATTTATTGCTTTCTGAGAAGGGATTAAAGCATGTGCTCTCATTAGGCTTTGGATCAGGTGGTCTCCCGAGTCCTTCTCACCTGAATTTCTGGTGAACCTGGCACAGTTAAACTCGTTACAGAACAAAAGAGCCACCGTCTGGACGTTGACGATACAGTGGCGTAGAAATAGTCACAAAACACAAACACAACATTTGATTGAAAGATCTTAAAATGCATGGTGATAACCAGATCCAGCAATAGAAGGCATAATACACTTACCCGGGGACTGGGAGGGCAAACCCAGGACGGGCAGAGCCTATTTATGTTACTTCAATTTATTTATTTTAAAAATAAAGTTATATCGCTGCTTGGCAAAAAAAAATTGTAACCGGCACGTAAGAATATAAAATTTGAGGGCGCCTGGGTGGCTCAGTTGGTTAAGCGACTGCCTTCGGCTCAGGTCATGATCCTGGAGTCCCTGGATCGAGTCCCGCATCGGGCTCCCTGCTCGGCGGGGAGTCTGCTTCTCCCTCTGACCCTCCCCCCTCTCATGTGCTCTCTCTCATTCTCTGTTTCTCAAATAAATAAATAAAATCTTTAAAAAAATATATATATATAAAATTTGATTCACTAGATCATAATCGCCATCAACATTTCCTAGTGTTTGAATTCTTAAAAATGTTTCTTAATATTTAAATGTATACACATTAGATCATCTTCTATTTTATGTCCTGAATTTATATTTTTACTGCTAGATCTTCGAGATAGCTCTGATCTGTCACCTAGACGTTTATTTACCCATCTGTTGCCGCGCATAAGACTTTTTAAATGGTTGAATGGCGTCCACGTGTGCGATTGGACCCGAATTTATTTCACGATCCCCCTGATTGACTTTTTGTAGGACTTTGAGATTGTTGGTGGGTGTTCAGCGATGTTGTCACTGTAACTATGTGTATGTGAGGCTCAGTCCGCGGGGAGAGAGAACGTAGATGTGAGTTTCTGGGTCCAAGCGTTGTGTTGGTTTGGATAGCTGGTTCCAAACTGCTCTCCAGAGAGGCGTGCCCACCAGGGGCACATAAGGATGCCCGTTCCCTAAACTCTGGTCAGCACTGCGTGAGATCAGACTTTGACATCCTAGCTGTCTGGTGAGAAACGCTATTTTGTTGGCAATTTACGTTTCTTTTTTGAGTGAATTTGAGCTTTTTAAAAATAGACTTCTGTATGTCATCTGTGACTTCTTCCTGTGAACTGATGAACTCCTGTCCTCTCCCCTGGTTTCTCTTATTCTGATGGATTGATGAGCAAGGATTAATTATATGTCAGGAAAATTAACCTTCTATGGTTTGAATTGCAAATATTTTCCTAGGTTGCCGTTTATCACTTAACTTTTTTTTCTTTATATTTCTTTCTTTTCTCTCTCTCTGGCCTGTTTTCTTCTTGAGTTTTTTTGTAGAATTCTCTTTTCTCCTTACAAGTTCTGGGTTTTGTGACTGACTTAGAAAGACTTTTCCTTTCTCGATACATATTTTTTAAATCCCTTTTTTCTTTGGCCCCAGGTTTAAGAAGTAAATACATACATATTTGACCCACCAGGTGTTTATTTGAACTCACACCACCGCTTTTTACCATGTTCCTCAAGTTCTGACTTTTTTTGTGTTTTCATTTCTCTCGTGTTCTAGATATTTTTCTGTTCTGTTTCTTTCACATTCTAGATAATCTTGCTATTTGCAGTTTCTAGCCAATTTCAGCCAAACTCAGAAGAATGTTACATTTTCACCAGCTAGAGCTCTACCACCTTTGCTTTCTGGTCTTGCTGTTTGTGTCTCAGTTTGTTGCGTGGTCATCAGATAATATGGTCTCTTATCCCTACTGTTTGGAATTATGTTGTGATGGAAGTGACTCATCCTTGTCCTTGGATCTAACCATGAAAAATTCTACCTTTCTGAAACCCTTTCGTGTGTCGGGCGCCCGGCCCCGTGCCTCAGAGCATCCACGTCCAAGCCCCCGGTCCTCCTGCAGGGGGGTATTTCTGTACCTTTCAGGGGTGAGGAAGCAGATGAATGACAGATGGTGACAGACAGGGGTCAGACAGTCCCAGAGCGCTGGGGCCCAGAATTCCGCTGTCTCTTCTTCAAAAGACACCGCTTGTCCCCATGTTGCTGGATCGCCCGTTACCCAGAAGATGCCCGCTCTTTTTCCCTCGCTCTGTCCCTCCCTCCCTCATCTTTTCCAAAACCGCTAGAAGGGAGCACCTCTGGATCCTCAGGGGGCTTGATCGCATTTTGTCATCATTACCGTCACCCTAGCTCATGTTACTGTTGTGCCAAATTTGTCGGCGTCCATTGCAAGCACCAGACATGTAGGGACTTGCTTAATCTTCCCCATGACTCCCAAGAAGATACCGTTGCTCTCCTATTTTATAGGTGATGAGCCTGAGGCGCGGGCAGGTTAACTGACTTGTCCACGATCGCACAGCTACTAGACTGTGGAGCTGGTAGGACAGCCCAGATAATCTGGGTCCAGAACCCGCATCCTTAATTCGTTCTGTTCAGAAGGGTACCCTTGGGCTGGCTTCATGGAGAGAAGACACCGTCTCCTTCAGTTACCCAATTTTCTGATGCGGCAGGAGATCCCAAAGCATGTTCTCAAGATTGGGAGATCAGGATCAACAAAGAGGGCTGTGGGAGTTTGAGTATCGTACGTTTGTAGGGTGACATGCTGACTGCCCCCCTCGTTGGTCAGGAACGGGCTCCTGGTGGGAATGTGTTTGCAGGGAAGTAGGTACTTTCTTCTCTCCAGGTCAGTCCTTCTTGGGGTCAGGGACCCATTCGCTGCTGATGGATCTAGAGCCCTTGATTGGGTTCTGTTCCTCAGGCTCATCTCCCGACTAGTGGTGTAGTTCAATGGAGGGGGTTGCTGAGTTGGGCCCTGGGTCACGTGGACGTGAGTCTCCCCGACTTCTTCATTTCCATTTCAAGGGATGTGGTTAGAGGAATAACTTGGGAGTCTGCTGGAATTACTAGGTTTACAGTGAATTGGTTAGCTTGGGGTTGGCTCATGAGTTTTTCCCGTCGAGAACACAAACCAGGATTCCTTCCTGTCTCTGGAACCCTGTGGTGATCAGAAAACCAAGGTTCTTGATGCTGGTACACTTCAGTAATGCTTGCAACTGTTGTACGGTTTGTTTTCTTTCTAATTACAAAATGTTTCAAATGTCCCTGCCATTCCGGAAAATAACATACCAGGCATCATGATTGAAAAGTTAGGTTTGCTTCACATCTCTCTTTTGTGAAATTAAATGCTGTGGGAAGAGCTCCTGCCCTCCCACCCGTCCTCTGTTTCCCAAAGTGGCCACTGTCCCAGGATTGGTGTGCAGCGCACACCAATGTGTGTGTGAGTGGGCCACAAACCATCAGACACGTTATTTTGTGTTTCGGAATTACGTTCCAGCATGTGTACCCACACGTGCATGCGCACACACACACAACTTGCAGGCTTCTCTTCTTTAACTCGTAACCACTTCTAGGTTGCTTATAACACATGTTTTAATGGAGAAGGACTCTCCACTGTCAAATGAAACTGCCATCATTAGAGAGGGAAGCATTTCTTGGGCTCATGGTAGGATTGGGGGCTTCCTAGAAGCACCCCCCCCACACACACACACAGAGAAACCCTCATCCTGACTTGGTATCTGGGGTCAAGCTCAGATGGACGCTCATGATGCGGGGTTGCCCCCTTTCCTTCGCTCTGCTCCCACTCCCTCCGCTTCCCAGTGGCTTCCACGACCCAGGAAGAGGAGAGGGCATGGGGCACAGATGGGGCAGGGCAGCCATGGTGACGACAGGACAGAGTGTGATGGTGGCCGGTGGTCTTTTCCAGGAGATGACCTCATGCGCTGTGTGGACCTCTACAACCAAGCCCAGTCCAAGTGGTTTGAAGAGATGGTGACCACCACACTGGTGAGAGAGCTTGTCAACCCAGGGGCCAATGCTCAGGAAGCCCTTGGGGGGGATGCTGGCGGGCATGCGGGTGATGGCATGGAGTGGCCATAGAGGTGGTCATTAGATCCTCTCTACCGCTGAGGTCAAGACCTTGACTCTGGGCCAGTCTGTGTGGATTCAGATCCTGCTTTGGCACTTTGTAGCTGTGTGAACACAGGAAAGGGTTGGGTCCTACTCTATCCTCTTTGGCTGTCCCCTGAGGGGTCAGGGTCAAACAAGAATGCCCTCAACCAGATGTGCATTGGAGCCTTTAGGACAGATAGCCAAGTTATAGGAAGGGTGGCCCTCCCCACTCCCCAGAAGGGTTGCCCATCGTAGATAGAGGACACATACGGAGTGAGGTTGGGATAGCTGTTCAGAAGGAATGGGAGTGGAGGCCTCTGACCAAGGGATTCAGGGAATAGGCATCAGACCCCCCCCCCCTTTTTTTGTCTTCCTGAGTGTTTTCTTTAAGATTGATTTATTTTAGAGAGAGAGTACTGTGGGGAGGGGCAGAGGGAGAGAGAGAATCTCAGGCAGACTCCACGCTGAGTGCGGAGCCTGACGTGGGGCTCATTCCCGTGACCCTGAGATCCAGACCGGAGCCGAAACCAAGAGTCGGAACTGACTGTGCCCCCCGGGTGCCTCCTGAGTATCTTATGAAGGGACAACATCTCCTCCTCAGTGAGCACCCGTTGGCTTGGACTGTGAAGTGTGCTTGACACTTGGGCCATTGGGTTGGATGAGAAAGGAGGCCTCGTGCCAGGTCCTGACTGCATTGTCCCACTGCCCAAAGCTCCCCTCGTCCATCCGGCACAGGACAGACTAACTCTCTGCGTGCCCAGGTGTCAGCCCACCGGAGCAGATTAGAGGCCTCCCCCAGGGACAGTGACCTAGTCTTCCTCCTGGTTAATCTCCTAATTAAGCTCCCGCTTTACCCTTCTTCCCAGCTAATCACCTGGGCAGTGACCTAGTTGTGCACAGAATAGCAGCCTGATCCTCTAAATTCCAAAGATGCAGAACCATCTAGAAACCAAAGGACAAGCCCTTTCTCTTCCATTTATTTGACCATGGCCATCTGACTCCTACCCTTCCCCCCCACCCCCTGCCCCGAGTCTCCTGGCCTGGTCTCTTGTTCTGCACTTCAGCATTAGATGGACAGAGGAGAGGAGGCTGCTCGGCAGAGGCCCAGGGACAAAGCCCCAAGAGGCCTGAGGCACAGAATCTCGACATGTGACCCATGTGTCCACCCCGTCTCGGGAACTGGGGCCGGGGCTGCCCTGGGGCAGAATCCGGACCCTGGTTTCAACCCCGCTCCTCCCTTAATGCTTTGGGCAAGTGATGTTACAGATAAGAACCTCTCTTTTTTTTTTTTTTTTTTTAAAGATTTTATTTATTTATTTGAGAGAGAGAACACATGAGAGGGGATAGGGTCAGAGGACGAAGCAGACTCCCTGCCGAGCAGGGA